TACAGCCTTGTAGATTTTAGTTGGCTTTTGGGATGACTTCTTCCCTGGGAGGGTGGTGCAGCCCAGGGCAGATTACCCAGGCATGCAGGAGGGATCTCCATCCTTGGAGGGTTTCAGAGCTTGGCTAGAAAATACTGCAGCACTGGCAATAGTCCACCTGGAGCAGGATGCTGGATTAGCCTTTGGAGGGGTCTTCCAGCTGGTGTTTTTGTGATGTTTTTTAATATCCTCTCTAGCTTTTATTGGAATGGAAAGTATTTAATCTTGATCTGTTACAAATCCAGACTGTCTTTGAATGGATTTATTGGAAAACTCCTGCTTGGTCTGTGTGGCTGTTGAAAGCCAGGTCATAAACATTTGCATAGCAGACAGCTGTGCCAGGAGAGCATGGACAATCACAGGGAGCAGCTTTGTAGAAGGGAGAGAACACAAAGCTTTTGAAATCTTTTTCAAAATAACTTTTTGAACAGTGATACAAGTTGTAAGATACAATAGCTCAGGGAATGGTCCGGCTTTGACACATAGACACACAAAGTGATGCTGACCCTGCTAATGGCCACTTCTCTGTGTACACTGTTGGCCAGGCAAAGAAGCCAATTAGCCTGATTTAAATACCCAGTGGGAGATACTGCAGAAGGCAAATGCACAGCCCAGAGAGTGGAAAGGTAAATAGGACTGGAGCTTGTCTGTCTGTTTATACTGCAGATACAGACATAGCAATTATGTTCTACACAGTGGTGCCAACCTGGGAGCTGGCAGGTGAATGTCAAAGTAGAGGGAGTCTGCAGTGTGCTGAGGTTGCACAGGGCTGAGGCAGTGGGGGTTCCAGCTCTGAGCTTGTTGAGGGACTGAGAGGAGGGTGAGAGGAGGGACATGGCAAACTGGGGAGGAGAGAAACACAAAAGACAGAGTGCTAGAGGTGAGACCTGCTTGTTGCAGTGCATCAGGAGAGTATGATGGATGGAGGGGTGTTTCATAGTGACATAACCCATGACAGGAGTGCCAGGCCTGAGGAGAAGACAGCTGAGCAACCCTTGGTCTTCAGGGAAAGCATGAGAGACCCCATCCTGCTGTCCTTTGAACCAGGCAGGCATGCTCCAAGAGCTATTTGCTGTCTTCAGAGGGCTGATCCTGCATGAGGACTGTATGAATAAACTGGAAAATACATCCTGTCATCTCCACTCTTTTTTACTGTCAGTTGGCATGAAACAGCAGGCCAGCATATCCCTGAACTGCAGATGGGTATGGAAACATGAGCTGAAGTGCAGAGCGTGATGTGTAACACCTGGGGTTGCACATCTGTCTGTGTAGCTGGGGAAGTGATTCTGGCATGTGCCTTTGGTTCCAAGTTTAGAAGGTTGTTAAGACAGTTAAGAGACTGAGCAGTGAGTGAACTTGAGCTTTGTCTGGAGGGCTGGCTTGGTGTTATGGCTCTGGAGGATTCCTGGGGAGCAGGACCTCAGCATTGAAGAGGCTGCAGCAGTTTGTTAGTCTTACCCCCTGCCATGACTGACTGTGCAGGCCAAGGTTTTCTGTTGTCTGTAGCGTGTTGGTGGCCAGCAAAGGGCTGTCTGTTCTGCTTCTATTTAAAAAGAACTGGGAATTTAAGAAGCCACTGTGGTTTGAACTTAGGCTTCAGGCTTTGGGGGCTCTTTGGGGGCTTTAAAACTCCTTAGAGCTTCTCTGTGGTGTCTGTCACCAAAATTTCCAGCTCCCTGTGACTGCTCCACCTGACCAAACCTCAAGTGCACAACTGCAGTTACCAAGCCCTTGGGCTGCTGTGAGAGAAAAATACGCTCTTAATTTGAAAACAAGTGTAGGTACCCAGGCCTCTGACACAGAACTGTGACAAAGGGCAGTGTAGAACCAGGTAAGAGGGCAGAAGTAAATCTGCCACTTCCTGACTTGTTAAGGCTTGTTGGCACTTGTGGTTCTTTACTTTCTTGAATTAAAACTGTGTTGAAGATGGATAATTTCAGGAAATGCCCAAGGTTAGGGAAGCTTTTGCTACAAAGTGGACCTTTGCAAAGCTCTGAGGGACACAACCAAAGACCCTCTGATCTGGCAGGATCAGTTCTAGCTGCATGCACTTGCTTTTGGCTCATGTGCCTCCCTTGCTGTCCTTCCCCCAGGCTGCTGCACTACTTCCGAGGCCGGCACCATTTGGAGGAGATCATGTACAACGAGAACATGCGGCGCTCCCAGCTCCTGATGCTCTTCGACAAGTTCCGCAGTGTGCTGGTGGTCACCAGCCACGAGGACCCTGTGATTTCAGTTTTTCAGTCTCTCTTAAAGTGACTCTGCTGGCAAAGGAAAAGAACCTGCTACACCCCCCATGCTGGTATTGTGAAAGATGCCTGAAAACGAAAGGAGGCTATTTCGATTCCTTCTTGCCATGTGACACAGAAGACCAGGTTCTCCCCATCTGCTGCTGCCTGTGGTGGCAGCTGAGGCTGGTCTGTGCGAGGGCTCTGGGGCTGCTGCAGGACACTGTGCAGCTCTTCAGCCTGGATTCCTG